AAAAATTAAAAAATTTAAAATAAATAAATAAATATTTTAAAAAATAAATAAAAATTAAGGTGAAGTTTGAATGATCATAAATACTGTTCGTGATTAGGCAGCTTCATTAATTCCAACATTAATGGGATGCAAAAGGTAGTTCTACAGATAATTTACACTAGCGTACCAGATGAAACAGTAAGAGAGAAAAAAACCCATCCTATCTGTTTTGTAAAACCTGTCACTCTGTCTTGTCTTACAGTGGCATCATGAGACCAGGACTGAATGCAATTTTGGGACCCACCGGCAGTGGTAAATCTTCGTAAGTGCCCTCTTTGCTCTACACAGAAATTACACCAAGGAGAAAACGAACCTGCACGTCCTTAGCGATAACGGACAAGTATTTTCAGGGAAAGATTTTGTTTCCATTTAGGTCTGCGCAAATCTCATTGGTTTCTGGAAAATACCCGAATTCAAAAAAGACAATCAGCTTACATGGCAGAAATGGAATTCAGCTTTAGTCCCCGCTTTACTGATACGCTATCTTTACGTATCATTCTAGGTTAAGCTCATGTTCTTGAACGAATGGACACCACCGCACTGCGAAATTGTGCAGAGCTCATGTCCTTAGGAAACCAGGACAAAAGAAACTCGGCCCTTGAAATTTGCTGGGGGTTTTCTAAATAGCGAATGTTTAACATGGGATGCTCATGTGCAGCTGTTCGTTCCATGAACTGGGTTTGTTGTTCAGACAGCTCACCTCCTGCGTGCTCATCTGACAAAATAACCAACTTTCCTCCTAGTCTACTCGACATTTTGGCTGCAAGGAAGGATCCCCACGGGCTTTCCGGTGACATTTTGATCAACGGAGCCCCTCAGCCTGCCAACTTTAAATGCACCTCTGGATACGTAGTACAGGTATGGAATTTTTATCACTCTGGGGATTTTATTGTCCCCTTCAGGCTGCCTTTGTAAAACTCTGCAGCAGTGACCCAAGAATCAAGGCTGGTGTGGCAGTAACTCTACCCATGTCCACCCTGGTTGGAAAGACACTGCTTTTGATTTGAGTCTCTGTCCTTAATGCTCCACAGTTTCCGTAGAGCGAAACGTTTCCCTCCTTGTTCTCCATTTTGCTGTAGACTTCCAATACCTACAGAGTGCTTTCCAAGTATGATGCTTTCTGGTAATATCCAGTTTGTACCTCCGCTTGCCCAGGGACGATATCACTACTGTTTAGTCTGGAGAAGAGAAGGCTGAGAGGAGACCTCATCACTCTCTACAGCTGCCTGAAAGGAGGGGGTAGTGAGGGGGGTGCTGGGTTCTGCTCTAAAGTAACAAGTGATGGGACAAGAGGAAATGGCCTCAAGTTGCACCAGGGAAGGTTTAGGCTGGAGATTAGAAAAAATTTCTTCACTGCAAGAGTGATGAGGCATTGGAACAGGCTGCCCAGGGCAGTGGTGGAGTCACCATCCCTGGAGGGGTTCCAGAAATGTGTAGATGTGGTGCTTGGGGACATGGGTTAGTGGGTTGGGTGGGGTTGGGTTGACGGTTGGACTTGATGATCCTTGAGGTCTTTTCCAACCTGAATGATTCTCTGATTCTATGATTCTACGATTCTACTCTGAGCAAACCTTTGTCCTGCCAGGGTGGGCTGGGGAGAAAGACACGTGAAGGACAAAATAAGGAAAAGTGCATCCCTCTTTCCATCTCTTTCCCCTCCCCACTACTCGTGGGTCAGCTGAGGTTGCTTAGGTCCCTTCAGCCCTTTAGTATCTCACTCAACACCTCCAGAAAATGGAATAACTTAACACAGGAGGGATGGCTTTGAATACATTGCCTTTTATGCATTTTGATATCATGCATGATGGAGGATGTTCCTATAATGGAAGGAACATTGTTGCTTTGTGAATAAAGGCAAATAATTATGTGTATGAAATCAACTGAAATTAATTCAAGATGAACAATTCCACATGTTCTGGCAGATGCTTCTGTCCCTCTGTGTGCAAGCACAACTTAGAACACAGGTAGATGCCGTTCTCAGAGGAAAAAAATATAAATTTCTAAGTGACCACCAAGTATCTACTTTTTTTCTTTTTTTGCAATGAAGGATGATGTGGTGATGGGAACCCTGACTGTAAGAGAAAATCTGAAGTTCTCAGCAGCGCTCCGTTTGCCAAAAACAGTGAAGGAACAGGAAAAAAATGAGCGAGTGAATCAGATCATCAAGGAACTGGGTTTGAGCAAAGTGGCGGATTCCAAGGTGAGGCATGCAAATATGGTGCTTAGATCATGAACAAATATTCAGTGATTTATTTAATTAACCAAATGGATCAGCATGGCAGATTAAAAAAAAAAGAAAGAAAAATTAAATAGACTATTTCAGCAATACAATAATTAATAAAATTTCTGTCAACTCTTCCCAAATGCTGCCAGGTGGGTAGGATGCTGTTCACTCAAGTATTTGTTACGAGGCCAAACGAGACAAGTGTCCTGTTTTGCGGCAGGTTGGCACCCAGTTCATTCGCGGGGTGTCCGGAGGAGAGCGAAAAAGGACCAATATCGGGATGGAGCTCATCATGGATCCTGCCATCTTGTTTTTGGATGAGCCAACGACAGGACTCGACGCCAGCACTGCGAATGCTGTCCTGCTGCTGCTGAAACGGTGATGGAAACATATTCATTTTTTTTTCACCGCTCAACTCTGCGACATTTCAGTTGTATTTGACTTAAATTAGAGTTAGAATGAGCAAATGGGGAAATCCTCCCAGGACTTTCCCCTCCAACAACATTCCCAGCAAGAGAAAATTTCCTTTTCTCACACCAACACTATTAATATGACACAAACATTTTCTTTTCCTTTTCTTTTTTCCTTCCCCCTTCCCTCTCTTTCATGCCAAAGGAATCAAACTTAACCAAGGCTCAAGTGAACTTACAAATTCTCTTCTCTAAACGCTGAAACAATTTGCAAAGCTAACACCTCTGTCGTTCTTCCCATCCAGGATGGCAAAACAAGGCAAAACAATCATCTTCTCCATCCACCAGCCTCGCTACTCCATCTTCCGGCTGTTTGACAACCTGACGCTGCTGGCCGCAGGGAGGGTGCTGTACCATGGGCCCGCTCCGCACGCCATCGAGTACTTCCAGTCTATCGGTGAGCACAACTCACAGTGGGGACAGCTGCAGCAACATCTTGAGTTGCACTAACTGGAGCAAAAATGCCAATAGTGCTTGATCAGGATGGATAGAGTGGGTATTGTAAGCATCCCTGGAGGGGTTCAAGGCCAGGCTGGATGAGGCTTTGGGCAACCTGGGCTGGTGGGAGGTGTCCCTGCCCATGGCAGGGGGTGGCACTGGATGGTCTCTAAGGTCCCTTCCAACCCAAACCATCCTGTGATTCTGTTTCTCTTGGTGTTTTGACTCTTCACCCATATGTGGGCATGGATGATAGGGCTGACCTCTAATCATCTTAGTTAGACCAAGCCCAAGCTAGGGTTGAGAAGGGCACAGTGCCAGCTGCCACCTTGCTTGCACTGAAAAACTGAACA